AAAGCGAAAACCACAACCGTGCTTTTGGGCTACATGTTTTTTCTTCCGTTTTGCCCTTTTTTGTTTTTGTTTTCCTGGATTTTGGTTTTTTTACTGGTATTTTTGTTTCCGGGTTTTATTTCCGGTTTATGTTTTTTTTCTTAAAAAGTTTGTTGAAACCTATTAACACCGGGCTAGTTTTAAAGAACTCGACGCGAGACATCCAACAGTTTAAGAGATAAACCATTTTAAATAACGTACATACAATGCGCCATTTGTCAGCATCTGAGAAGACTAGGAGTGATTTAAGTGATTTCAGCTACCTGCACGTGAAATTTTTCTTGTTGGCAACCTACACGTCAAATAGGAGCCCCGTTTTTTTAGTTTTTTTAGAAGAGGAGCCCCGCTGTAAGAAGCTGTAGAGCAGCTGCAAACTAGATAAAAGCCCAACAAAAGCCCAACACAGCAACACTCCTCGTTCACTTCGCCTGTCTTCCAGTTCCACGCCGCACATCCCCTCTTCTCGCCGTCGCCGCGGCACACCCAAAGCCTCGCCGGCGGGGATGGGAGCACCTCAAACGGGCTCCCTGGCTGTCACTCGCTTCTCCTCCGGTACGTACGCCACATACGTCGTAGATCCCCTCTTGTTTCCTTCCTGCTCCCTTCACCGATGGCGATGGATCTCCAATCTCTCCCTCATCCTCCTCCGCCCCCGTTTGCAGATTGACCGCCTCCTCTCTCCACGGCGATGGCAGACGGCTCCAGGGACATTAGCAGGCGGCGGAATCCAGCGGACAAGCTCACCGAAGACCTCGTCGTCGAGATCCTGTCGCGCGTGCCGTACAAGTCGCTGTGCCGGTTGAAGTGCGTCTCCAAGCGGTGGCGCGGCATCATCTCCCACCCCGACCACCGCAAGGCGCTGCCGCAGCACCATCTCCATGACCTCGCCGGATTCCTCTACTCGAGCCGCGGCCCCGGCCCTGACTATTTATCAATTCACAATTTCAACCATGTCTCGCCGGGAGGCCGCCCTCCTATCCGCCCTACACTCCCCTTCCTGCCTGACTGCGAGCTATTCGACCTTCTGGATAGCTGCAACGGCCTGCTCCTCTGCCGCCGCTTCGAGACCGCTTATTCGCGGGCATTCGACTACGTGGTGTGCAATCCTGCCACGGAGAAATGGGTTGCTTTGCCCGGCTTCTTCAGCAAGATGCAGGCAGCTCGCTTGGGGTTCGACCGGGCCGTGTCCTCGCACTTCCATGTGTTCCAGTTCGTGGAGGATGGGGCTGCAGATGCAAATGCCGATACAGACGACGATGATGATGGCGATAGTTTTGGGCACGTCAGAGCGGTTGACATCTACTCGTCCAAAACCGGGGCCTGGACTCACAAGGACAGCGGTTGGGACTTCCTACCTAGGATAGTGAGTGATTCTAGAAGTGTCTTTGTCAATGGTTTTCTGCATTTGCTCGCCATCGAGTCTACGGTGGTGGCAATGGATGTGGAGGGAACTACTTGGAGGGCTATTCCTATGCCGGACGATGAGGATGCCCCCATAATAGATGTTGATGTCGGGTTCATTGACCTGTCTCGAGGGCGTTTGTATCTGGCAAATAGTGATCAGCATGATTTTGATAAACTGTCGATCTGGGTTCTCGAGGACTACGGCGGTGAAGCGTGGGTCTTGGAGCACAGTGTCAGGTATGTGAATCTATTTGGAGTGAAGAATGTCCGGCTGGGAGACGAGTACCATATTGTCGCCCTCCACCCACAATGAAACACAATTTTCCTAGTTTATGGGCATGAGAAGGTATTGATGTCTTATGAAATGGATACTGGGAAAGTGCAGTTCATCCACGATCTTGGACAGGGTTCCATGGAGCCTTATCTTCCTTATGTTCCCTTGTACTCAGACGCATTGGCAGATTGGCACTGATAATCTGGCTCGCATTTTGCTGTTCCATTGTTGGCTTTTTAGATAATGGTGAATCATAGGTCTTACTCCCAGGTAATATCGGCAGCTATTCCCTTTTGTTCTCGAGTATACTCTGTAACCTACTTTATGGGGCTATCTGTCCAGTTAACTTAGTAATGCTAGCTGCTTCTCTTATGTAAACATATATGTGACATATGTGTTTATGGTTGATAGCAGCGTACGTGCGACAGCATTTACTATTTAACTTCATGGAGCTATCACTAATTTGTATCATTATTGATGGTTGTGATTGTCCAGATCGTTGGGTTGGGCCGTTGGCATATGTGCAGTGAAATATGGGAGGGAATATATGTTCTATTCCTCTTGCCATTGTAATGAACAATAAAGCATGTGAGTTTATGTTCCTTTGCTCCTGTCAATGTTGAAATTATCAGCACTAGTGAAGCAAAGCTATTCTTTTTCTGTTAGATGTTGTCTAGAGTTTAAATGATCATAAGTAAAACTTTCTTGATTCCATCAATAAAACTGCTTGATTCACTCTGTGTCATATTCAGTTCCAGTGTCGGTTCAGATCCTAAGTCTGAAACTAACCCTTTGTCAATTTGGTCTAGAAAATTGCCTGATTCACTTCAGGCTGTATTTAGTTGCAATGCCTGATTCACTTCAGGCTGTATTTAGTTGCAATGCCTAGACAACAGACTTTGCAGATTGTGAGTTCAGGTGCAAATGGGTACTAAATTACAGTACAATGAATTATATGTGTCAGAAATCCGAGGCGCGTGTTGATACGAGGGCAATGAATCACAACATGGGCTGTTCCTATCATCTCTATGACAGGCGTTTGGACCGTCCTCGATTCCTCGTAGTGTTGATGAAGCTCCAAGTGGGGTGACCAGACCCAGAATCCATCTTCAGGTCAGGTGCTGATGAGCGCATTGAACTATCCATATGGTGATGACATTGCTCTCTAGCTACCCGGATGGATCTCTTTACTTCTTGAAAAATGATGGGAGTTTCTCTGGAAATATGATGCAACAAAACCAATCCTACTCTCTCAACCTAGATGCGAAGTTGCAGACAGGATGATATTACTACTATCTTGCACCCAACCAAACCCTATCACCACACATAGGTACAACCACTGCCTCATAGACAAAACCACCGCCGCACAGGAGTAACTTATATAAACAAAACCCACGAGAAGCATAGTTGTGCTTCTCGAAAAATAATTATGCACCCATGAGAAGCACAGTTGTGTTTCTTGTGGAAACACATATTTGCTTCTGCGAGAAACACAACCTTTGTTTTTGCCAGAGCTCAATATGTGCTTCTACAAATAGCAAATCCGTGCTTCTACGATAAATACAGTTGTGCTTCAACTTTAAAAGGGAAAAAATATAGTATGTGCTTCATCGTAAAAAGAGAAAAGCATAGTCTATGCCAAAAAAATGATGAAAACCCCAACCATGCTTCTGGGCTTCGGGTTTTTTCCTTACTTTTTATAATTCATTTTTATTTTTTATTTTTGTTTTTTGTTTTTTTGTGAAAAAATATTGTCCAAAACTATTAATATGAGTTCTAGTTTTGAAGAACTTGACAAGAAATTCAACGGCTGGAATGGTTCAGTATATACACCCACGATTTAAGAGATACAATATTTTGAATAAAAAATTGATAGAAAAAAGAAAACTTACGACAAGTGGTGCACACACATTATGTGAGCATTTGAGATGATGAGGAGTGACCTTTACAAGGACAACTCTTAAGAAATCTCTAGCAGATCCCGCAAACTGGACCATCCGGCAAAATAACTGCCGGTTTGCAGGACGGAGCCCGTAAACCCGGCTCGAATAGACCCCCAAATTAAGCCGTCCTGGATTTTTTTTGTGGGATCCCGAATCCGCGTGGTCATTTCCTCCATATCTACGGGATTGAGGGCATTTCTTGCAGCGATCTGGAAAATAAAAACCGATTGGCGGGAGGGAACTTTCAGCTCCAACCACAGTCTTTCCTAAATGCGACCTCGCCGAAACAAAAGTCGTATTGTATGCAATTTTGCCAGGATAATGGGATATTTTACGGGATATGTTCTGCCGGAACAAAAGTCATGCTGTAAAAATGCGAAAAAATGTTTTGCGGCCGACTTTTGCAGGGCGGGGTATACCCGTGCTCTAACCAGTGATTTCAGCAAAAATAAGCACCTTTATTTTTAGGCAATGCTCTTTTTTCCCTTTTTCTTTTTGAGGATCCTTAGGCAACGCTCTTATAGAACAGCTGAAGTGCAGGCTGAAATCTAGACACACCGCTATCCTCCTCCGCTATCCTCTGCCTGTACAGCCCAGATAAAAGCCCAGCCCAGCATACCCCTCAAAAAAAAAGCCCAGCACGCCACAGCATACTCCTCATTCACTTCCCCCGTCTTCCAGTTCCACGCCAGTTGTCTCAAAAAAAAGTTCCACGCCACACCTCACCTCACCTCGCCGCCGCGTACCCAAACCCTCGCCGGCGGGGACGGGAGCACCTCAAACGGGCTCCCTCGCCGTCACTCGCTTCTCGCCCGGTACGTGCGCCCCATTCGCCGTAAATCTCTCTTCCTTCCTTGCTGCTCTCCTCGCCGATGTCGATGGATCTCAAATCCCTCCTCCTCCGCCCCCCTTCGCAGGTTGACCGCCTTCTCTCCCCACGGCAATGGCGGACGACTCCAAGGACATCAGCAGGCTTCTGAATCCAGCGGACAACCTCACCGAAGACCTCCTCATCGAGATCCTGTCGCGCGTGCCGTACAAGTCGTTGTGCCGGTTCAAGTGCGTCTCCAAGCGGTGGCGCGGCATCATCTCCCACCCCGACCACCGCAAGGCGCTGCCGCAGTACCATCTCCATGACCTCACCGGATTCCTCTACTCGAGCCGCGGCCCCGGCCCTGACTATTTATCAATTCACAATTTCAACCATGTCTCGCCGGGAGGCCGCCCTCCTATCCGCCCTACACTCCCCTTCCTGCCTGACTGCGAGCTATTCGACCTTCTGGATAGCTGCAACGGCCTGCTCCTCTGCCGCCGCTTCGAGACCGCTTATTTGCGGGCATTCGACTACGTGGTGTGCAATCCTGCCACGGAGAAATGGGTTGCTTTGCCCGGCTTCTTCAGCAAGATGCAGGCAGCTCGCTTGGGGTTCGACCCGACCGTGTCCTCGCAGTTCCATGTGTTCCAGTTCGTGGAGGATGGGGCTGCAGATGCAAATGCCGATACAGACGACGATGATGATGGCGATAGTTTTGGGCACGTCAGAGCGGTTGACATCTACTCGTCCAAAACCGGGGCCTGGACTCACAAGGACAGCGGTTGGGACTTCCTACCTAGGATAGTGAGTGATTCTAGAAGTGTCTTTGTCAATGGTTTTCTGCATTTGCTCGCCATCGAGTCTGCGGTGGTGGCAATGGATGTGGAGGGAACTACTTGGAGGGCTATTCCTATGCCGGACGATGAGGATGCCCCCATAATAGATGTTGATGTCGGGTTCATTGACCTGTCTCGAGGGCGTTTGTATCTGGCAAATAGTGATCAGCATGATTTTGATAAACTGTCGATCTGGGTTCTCGAGGACTATGGCAGTGAAGCGTGGGTCTTGTAGCACAGTGTCAGGTATGTGAATCTATTTGGAGTGAAGAATGTCCGGCTGGGACACGAGTACCATATTGTCGCCCTCCACCCACAACGAAACACAATTTTCCTAGTTTATGGGCAGGAGAAGGTACTAATGTCTTATCAAATGGATACTGGGAAAGTGCAGTTCGTCCACGATCTTGGACAGGGTTCCATGGAGCCTTATCTTCCTTATGTTCCCTTGTACTCAGAGGCATTGGCAGATTGGCACTGATAATCTGGCTCGCATTTTGATGTTCCATTGTTGGCTTTTTAGATAATGGTGAATCATAGGTCTTACTCCCAGGTAATATCGGCAGCTATTCCCTTTTGTTCTCGAGTGTACTCTGTAACCTACTTTATGGGGCTATTTGTCCAGTTAACTTAGTAATGCTAGCTGCTTCTCTTATGTAAACATATATGTGACATATGTGTTTATGGTCGATAGCAGCGTACGTGCGACAGCATTTACTATTTAACTTCATGGAGCTATCATTAATTTGTATCATTGTTGATGGTTGTGATTGTCGAGATCGTTGGATTGGGCCGTTGGCATATGTGCAGTGAAATATGGGAGGGAATATATGTTCTATTCCTCTTGCCATTGTAATGAACAATAAAGCATGTGAGTTTATGTTCCTTTGCTCCTGTCAATGTTGAAATTATCAGCACTAGTGAAGCAAAGCTATTCTTTTTCTGTTAGATGTTGTCTAGAGTTTAAATGATCATAAGTAAAACTTTCTTGATTCTATCAATAAAACTGCTTGATTCACTCTGTGTCATATTCAGTTCTAGTGTCGGTTCAGATCCTAAGTCTGAAACTAACCCTTTGTCAATTTGGTCTAGAAAATTGCCTGATTCACTTCAGGCTGTATTTAGTTGCAATGCCTGATTCACTTCAGGCTGTATTTAGTTGCAATGCCTAGACACAGACTTTGCAGATTGTGAGTTCAGGTGCAAATGGGTACTAAATTACAGTACAATGAATTATATGTGTCAGAAATCCGAGGTGTGTGTTGATACGAGGGCAATGAATCACAACATGGGCTGTTCCTATCATCTCTATGACAGGCGTTTGGACCGTCCTCGATTCCTCGTAGTGTTGATGAAGCTCCAAGTGGGGTGACCAGACCCAGAATCCATCTTCAGGTCAGGTGCTGATGAGCGCATTGAACTATCCATATGGTGATGACATTGCTCTCTAGCTACCCGGATGGATCTCTTTACTTCTTGAAAAATGATGGGAGTTTCTCTGGAAATATGATGCAACAAAACCAATCCTACTCTCTCAACCTAGATGCGAAGTTGCAGACACGATGACATTACTACTATCTTGCACCCAACCAAACCCTATCACCACACATAGGTACAACCACTGCCTCATAGACAAAACCACCGCCGCACAGGAGTAACTTATATAAACAAAACCCACGAGAAGCATAGTTGTGCTTCTCGAAAAATAATTATGCACCCATGAGAAGCACAGTTGTGTTTCTTGTGGAAACACATATTTGCTTCTGCGAGAAACACAACCTTTGTTTTTGCCAGAGCTCAATATGTGCTTCTACAAATAGCAAATCCGTGCTTCTACGATAAATACAGTTGTGCTTCAACTTTAAAAGGGAAAAAATATAGTATGTGCTTCATCGTAAAAAGAGAAAAGCATAGTCTATGCCAAAAAAATGATGAAAACCCCAACCACGCTTCTGGGCTTCGGGTTTTTTCCTTACTTTTTTTAATTCATTTTTATTTTTTATTTTTGTTTATTGTTTTTTTGTGAAAAAAAAATTGTCCAAAACTATTAATATGAGATCTAGTTTTGAAGAACTTGACAAGAAATTCAACGGCTAGAATGGTTCAGTATATACACCCACGATTTAAGAGATACAATATTTTGAATAAAAAATTGATAGAAAAAAGAAAACTTACGACAAGTGGTGCACACACATTATGTGAGCATTTGAGAAGATGAGGAGTGACCTTTACAAGGACAACTCTTAAGAAATCTCTAGCAGATCCCGCAAACTGGATCATCCGGCAAAATAACTGCCGGTTTGCAGGACGGAGCCCGTAAACCCGGCTCGAATAGACCCCCAAATTAAGCCGTCCTGGATTTTTTTTTTGTGGGATCCCGAATCCGCATGGTCATTTCCTCCATATCTACGGGATTGAGGGCATTTCTTGCAGCGATCTGGAAAATAAAAACCGATTGGAGGGAGGGAACTTTCAGCTCCAGCCACAGTCTTTCCTAAGTGCGACCTCGCCGAAACAAAAGTCGTACTGTATGCAATTTTGCCAGGATAATGGAATATTTTACGGGATCTGTTTTGCCGGAACAAAAGTCATGTTGTAAAAATGCGAAAAAAACGTTTTGCGGCCGACTTTTGCAGGGCGGGGTATACCCGTGCTCTAACCAGTGATTTCAGCAAAAATAAGCACCTTTATTTTTAGGCAATGCTCTTTTTCCCTTTTTCTTTTTGAGGATTCTTAGGCAATGCTCTTATAGAACAGCTGAAGTGCAGGCTGAAATCTGGACACACCGCTATCCTCCTCCGCTATCCTCTGCCTGTACAGCCCAGATAAAAGCCCAGCCCAGCATACCCCTCAAAAAAAAAAGCCCAGCACGCCACAGCATACTCCTCATTCACTTCCCCCGTCTTCCAGTTCCACGCCAGTTGTCTCAAAAAAAAGTTCCACGCCACACCTCACCTCACCTCGCCGCCGCGTACCCAAACCCTCGCCGGCGGGGACGGGAGCACCTCAAACGGGCTCCCTCGCCGTCACTCGCTTCTCGCCCGGTACGTGCGCCCCATTCGCCGTAAATCTCTCTTCCTTCCTTGCTGCTCTCCTCGCCGATGTCGATGGATCTCAAATCCCTCCTCCTCCGCCCCCCTTCGCAGGTTGACCGCCTTCTCTCCCCACGGCAATGGCGGACGACTCCAAGGACATCAGCAGGCTTCTGAATCCAGCGGACAAGCTCACCGAAGACCTCCTCATCGAGATCCTGTCGCGCGTGCCGTACAAGTCGCTGTGCCGGTTCAAGTGCGTCTCCAAGCGGTGGCGCGGCATCATCTCCCACCCCGACCACCGCAAGGCGCTGCCGCAGCACCATCTCCATGACCTCGCCGGATTCCTCTACTCGAGCCGCAGCCCTGACTATTTATTGATTCGCAATTTCACCCATGTCTCCACGGGAGGCCGCCCTCCTATCGCTATCGACCCTTCGCTCGCCTTCCTGCCCGACTGTGACAGGTTCCACCTTCTGGACAGCTGCAACGGCCTACTCCTCTGCAGCCGCTTCGAGACCGCTGATTCGCAGGCATTTGATTACGTCGTGTGCAATCCTGCCACGGAGAAATGGGTTGCCTTGCCATTGCCGGGCTTCTTCAGCAAGATACAGACAGCTCGCCTGGGGTTCGACCCGGCCGTCTCCTCGCACTTCCATGTGTTCCAGTTCCTGAAGGACGGGGATGGCCACGTCAAAGGGGTTGAGATCTACTCGTCCAAAACCGGCGTCTGGAGTCACAAGGACAGCGGTTGGGGCTTCCCGGCTAGATTAACGAGTTTAAGTGCCTTTGGCAATGGTTTTCTTTATTTTGTTGCCATCTGGTCTGCGGTGGTGGCAGTGGATGTGGAGGGAACTGCTTGGAGGGTTATTCCTATGCCATGCAATCCGTTTGGCCCTGAAATAGATCTTGCTGTCGGGTTCACTGATCCGTCTCAAGGGCGTTTGTATTTAGCAAATATTGATCATCATGATGGTCACAGACTATTGATCTCGGTTCTTGAGGACTACGGCAGTGAAGTGTGGGTCTTGAAGCACAGCATTAGTCCTTTTGATCTACTTGGAGAGAAGTATGTACATCGGGGAATCAGGTTTCACATTGTCGCCCACCACCCGCGACGAAACATGATTTTCTTTGTTTATGGGCATGACAAAGAACTCGTGTCTTATGAAATGGATAGTGGAAAAGTGCAGTTCATCGGCGTTCTTGGAAATGGTTCCGTGGGACCCTACCTTCCTTATGTTCCCTTGTACTTGGAGGAATTGGCAGATTGGAACTGATACTCTGGCTTGCATATCGCCGTTCCATTGTCGACCTTTCAGATAATGTTGAATGATAGGTCCCTTTGTAATATCAGCAGCTATCCGGTTTGATCCTTCTGATGTTGTATTACTCCTCTTTTGTTGTCGGGTGTACTCTGTAACCTCACTTTATGGGGCTAACTGTTCCCGTTAACTTAGTAGTGCTAGCTGCTTGTCTTGTGTAAACATATACTATGTGTTTATGGTTGGTAGCAGCATACGGGCAGCAGACTTTGCTATTTAAAATTTACGGAGCTACCATTTATTTGTACCATGATTGATGTTTGTGATGTCCAGATTGTTGTGTTGGGCTGTTAGTGGATGCCCTCTTTTACAAATAGTGTATGTGTATCCTATGTTGAAGTTTATTGTGCATTTTAGATATGTAATTGTATGGGCAGTAAAACATGGGAGGGAATTTATGTTTTATTCCTCTTGTCATTGTAGTGAACAGTAGAGCATGTCAGTTTATGGTCCTTTGCTCCTGTCATGTTGAAATGATCTGCACTAGTGAAGCAAAGCTATTCTTTTCTGTGAGATGCTGTTTAGTCTGGAATTTACAGCATCAAAGGTAAAAAATTCTTCATTCTATCAATATAACAGCTTGATTCACTCTGTTTAATCTGTCGGATCTCAAGACTGAAACTAACCTTGTGTTGATTTGATCTAGAAAAATTGTCTGATTCACTTCCTGCTGTACTTAGTTGCAATGTCTGATCTTTGCCAGCAGATGCTTTGAACTGTCGTTTAATTTGATACAGAAGGATAGGTGCCATCTTTTTCAGAGCCTCTACGGTATATTCATATTATTTATTGGGTTATTTACAGTAGAACTCTGAATTTTTAGCCTCCCTGCTGGTGCCTCACGTCCAAATGGGTATCAAATAAACAGATTTTGCAGCGTCCAAATGGGTATTAAATAACAGCTTTTGCAGATTGCGAGTTCAGGTGCAACTTCAGAATGAATTCTACGCGTTAGAAATCCAAGGTGCATCTCGATCGGATGAGGGCAAGCAATTGCAACATTGCTGGTTCGATCATCTCCACGACGGGCATTCGGGCCGTTCTATCATCTCTATGACATCCGACCATCCTCATAATGTTGAGGAAGCTCGGGAGCGAGTAAACCACAAGGCTCTATCCAGACGACATTATTTGGACGATTTGCAGCCGACGATTGAATCCAAAGCTCTTCGTGTGTGGAGCAGTTTTGGCTTTTGGCTCGAAAACAAACGCCGAATGATGCAACTTCTCCAAGTGAGGTGACCAGACCCAGAATCCATCTTCGGGACAGGCGCTGATGAGCACATTGAACTATCCATGTGGCTCTCTAGCTACCCGGATGGATCTTTTTACTTCCTGAAAAATGATGGAGTTTCTCTGAAAACATGATCCAACAAAACCAATCCTACTCTCTCAACCTAGATGCGAAGTTGCAGACAGGATGACATTACTACCATCTTGTAACCAACCAAACCCTAACACCACACATAGGTACAACCACTTCCTCATAGACAAAACCACCGCCGCGCAAGAGAGTAACTTATATAAACAAAACCGAAGCTGAAACAGGTTCCTTATATATACTGCTAGTACATGTTTATTGTTCTTCAGCAGAACAGTAAATACAGGCTTTTTAGCTGCAGGAGCAGGAAAATGGTTCGCCGGAGTCAGGCCTTGTACACGGCGCATGCCTTCTTTGGGATCCTGGTCCTCGCCCTCTTGGCGTCGACGGTGATGCGGCACGTCACGTGCACCTTGTGCGTCACCCGCACCAGCTTGCCGATGACGTACCCCCGGGAGACGAGCTCGAAGTCCACCGTCAGCGGCACCGTCACGTCGTTCCCCGACAGCGAGAGCCCGCCCCCCGCGCCGTAGAGGGGCACCTTCTCGCCGTGGATCACCGCCGACACCAGCCGGTGGCTCTTGCTCGGTTGGTAGTACTTGTGAACCTGCATTCATAGGAGAGGTGTTAACATCAGATTTTTGAATTTGCCAGTGATTGTGAGTCAAACCAGTACATCACATATCTTGATGAACATACTATCCTGCTACTCTTTATACTAAATGCCCATCCCCCTTTCTTGACTCAAACTTACTGCCTTTTCTAGTTTAAATCTGCAGGACCTTCGATCCGATACTCCGAGAAGGATAACAAGAGTACAACATATTGGAAAACGCTTCAAGGATTCAGTATTTGAATGCAGTTTGCAAATTCACCCTTCACTTGAGTGGTGAAATGCAGAGGTAAAATGAGTATGGCTTATTCACCACTCAAGCTGTTCACATACTCCACATGGTAAGATGTGGAGCACCATTATTCAGAAATGGACAAATGACTTGCCAGGAAGAAGAAGCGCCGACAACACCTCTCTCTAGGCTGTTACCCAGAAACCAAAAAGAGCATACCTGTCCGACCCCGATGGCGATCTCCGAGTAGAGCAGGCGAACAGGGCCCGAAGAGACATGAATTCCGAACATTGAAGCAGGGTTGTACACAATCATGTTCAGGGAGCAGTTCAGCGTGACCATCTTGGTTGGAACCCCACTGTGGTCTGTGCCCTCTCCGGCATAGAAGTTGTCCATGGCTATGCTCTGCGCAAAAACAGAGTAAAAAGAAGTTCTTGGTTAGTAGTAGAACATTTTCTACAAAACCTTCATACTGAGAAATTCAGATCCGCAGCACAAGTTCACCGTACCAGAATAGTACAAAGGTACATTGTACTGTGTTTTATAACTACTGTAAAACTTTTTTGTGAACAGGGGGAGGTTTGGAAATGTGAGTGAGACAGTCGACAAGCTGGGCTGACTGCAGTGGCAGCCGGCAACATCTCTATCAAAAAACAGAAGAAAAATGTAATAAATTATTTTGCCTCGTGGTCATTGTTTTATGTTTCTTTCTCTATGTAGTAAGTATACTTATTTAGTGGCCTATCACTAAATTCCAACGGAGTTTGGTTTTTCGAAGAGGGGGTCAGAAAATGCCCAGCGAAGAAGCTGTTTCAGCTGATTTGGCTCTTCTTCAGTCAGCGGCGCTTTGCCTTAGATTAACATGATTTACACTACTAATGGTAAAAAGATAAATACCCTTTGATTTCGAGTTCAGAGCAAGGAGCCACGGTGAATAAGCGCCGATTCTAGAGAAAACAGAGCTCAAATGGATCTACCAGCACAAATTTTGCCTGCACAATTCGGAGTCTTTGCTGACCATTCTACCAGGAGATTTGAATTAAATTAGTGATGTAGTTGGTGTTTAAATTCAATCTACCCGGAGTCACAAGTGAAACTGGAGCAATTGATGTTTGAATTCATGTCATATTATCGTGTAGGAAAAATTCAGTTCAGAGTGTGCTGAGGAAGTGAAACAAGCAGGGTGGGTGCACGAGATGAATGGATATGGATACGGGTGTGCTACCTTGACGAGGACGTCGGGCTCGTAGGGGCGGGCGGCGCCCCAGACGATGAGGCAGACGACGGTGAAGAGCAGGAGGAAGCTGACGAAGGCGAGCGCGAGCTTGCAGCGGCCGGAGAGGCCGCTGTCGCCGCCGGAGAGGCCCTCGTAGGAGCCCTCCTCCTCGATGACGCTGCACTCGGGCCACCCCTTGGCGTTCACGGCCTTGAGGCCCCCGCCCCCGCCGCCGCCCTTGCGCCCGCTGCCGCCGCGGAGGATGCCGGAGAAGCGGCTGACGGAGGAGGCCCGGGAGTGGCGGCCGTAGGACGGGTGCGAGGGGGACTCGTTGGGGCTGTTGTACACGGGCGTCGCCTGCATCGACGACGACTTGTACCCGCCCGCGCCCCCGCCGTCGTGCGCCGAGTCCCGCGACGGGCTCTGCACGTAGTAGGCGCCGCCGCCGGCGGCACCTCGCTTCGGCGACCGCGGCGGCGACGACGCCGCCAGGCTCGTGATGTCCGAGTCCGACTTGCCGTGCATCATCTCCACCGACTTGAATCCTGCCCGAGCCACCGGCGAGCGCCCACGATCAAGAAAACCGGAAGAGCGAAAATGGAAAGAAACGGGAAGCGGAGCGGCTCTGCGGGAGGGTTTTGGGCTCCGGCCCGGCCGGATC